TCCATCCATCCATCCATCCATCCATCCATCCATCCATCCATCCATCATCTGGTTCTGAACTCAGGTCTCAGGTGCAGCAGCTTGATCAGGGAGGTCCAGAACTCTCTCTCCACAGCCACCTCTTCCAGCTCTTCTGAGAGGACACCAAAGTGTTCCCAGACCAGCTGAGACATGTCTCTCCTGCGTGTCCTGGGTCTTCCCTGGGGTCTCCTCCCAGTTGGACATGCCTGAAGCACTTCCCTAGGGGTCTATCCTTACCAGATGTCTGAACCACCACAAATGGCTCCTCTGAATGTGGAGGAGCTGAAGTTCTACTTGGAGTCTCTCCTGGAGAAATGTACCCCTCACGGAATTTCTTTTCCATCATTACCCAGAGTTCATGATAAGATAAGATAAAACAATTCGTCACATGCACAGTTGTACAAATTATAAAATGCAGTGAAATGTGTTATTGTACCGGCATTCAAAGATCAGCATATAAGTAGGCACACACAGCAAATTAAAGGAAAAAGAATAAATAAATAAAAATAACATACACACACAAACAGGCAATGTATACAAGACGCTGTCTGGCCTTCTTGACTCTTCTTTTGACATGTAGTGACCGAGACAGGTCCTGTGTGATGGTCACTCCAAGATGAGTGAAATGGTCCACCCTGTCCACCCTGTCCACCTCAGACCCACTGATCCAGAGCAGACAGATGTCGCCCTGCTGTTGCCTCCAGAAGTCCACAAACAACTCTTTAGTTTTGCTGACGTTCAGCAGAAGGCTATTCTCCCAGGTCCCGGCACCAGTTCTCCAGGTGGGAGACCGCTCTCCTGTGCTCCTTCTCATTGCTGTGGGAGATTAACTCCACAACGGCTGTGTCGTCAGAAAACTTGATTAAAATGTTGCTGTCTGATGTGGATGTCTGATGACCGTAGGTGAGAGTTGGAACGTAGACCGACCAGTAAACAGAGCTTCTCCTTGAAGCTCAGCTCCTTCTTCACCACAACGGACCGGCTCAGAGTTCCGGTTCTTCATGATCCTAGGAGCTATGCTGGTAAGACAGATTGGCCAGTCAAAAGAGCGATTCACAATACTCATATGGACAGGGGACAACAAGGAGCTTGATGTCCCTCACCTGGATGTGGGTTATCAGGGCCCCAACCTGGAGCCAGCTCTTGTTGCCTGAGCCTCTTTATGGGGCCCAGTTGGACTCAGACCAAATTACTCTAATGGGTTTGGCTTTCTGTGGGCCCACCACCTGCACAAGTAGCCAAATGGGTCAGGTGGAAAGTGTTATGGTGGGAGGCTTGGAGCTCTGACCCTAGCTTACTGAAGCTGTACCTGTTAGCAAAATATCTCATAAACTGCTGGATGGATTCAAATGAAAATCTTAGAAAGTAATCAAGGAACATTCGCCTACATTACCTTTCAAGATGGCCACCATAAACTCCACCTATCATACGAATCTCACGATAAAGAGGAAATTCTGTTTGTTGAAAAATGAACGGTTGAAACATCAGATCAATGGATCAGACTTTGCCCAGGTGGATTTTAGAAACGTCCAGAAATAAAACGTTCCTCCCTCTCGGAACAAGTCAAAGAGCCGTGGGTTTATTTTTATTAATAAAACCAGCTCCGGCGTTTATCGAACACCTCCAGAGCGGAGAGGATCAGAGAGGCTGAGACCTGCTGCAGCCTTAACAAGCATGGCGTGGGACTCGCTGGAGGTGTCGGGAGATAATTTACACCCTTCACTCCGACCCTTCACAGTAAAATTATATCAAAGACAAAAGAACAAAGTGGATTTACAACACGGTGATGGGTGTGAAAGAGGGCAGGAGTCTGCAGCCGAAGAGCCAGGAAACTCAAACCAGGACCCAGAGAAGAGACAATGAGCGCTAAACGACAGCTGAAAATCAGCCGAAGAAGCTGAAACTTGGTTGTTTATGCTAATAGAATGGACCATTGGCTAAACATTTAGCAGATGACTAGTTAGACTCTAAAATAACTAAAGACAAGTTAAAATGTCAAAGCAGTAGAATGCAAGCTAAAAGTAAATGGACTGTACTTATATAGTGCCTTTCTATCGTATCTAGATACTCAAAGCGGTTTACACTAGAATCTGTGCCTCATTCACATATTCATACAGAACTCTACTAGATCTCTACAAAGCTAATTGAACAAATTATTCTAAAGAGAATAATCAGAATTTTATCACATTCATACACCGATGGGACACACATCTGAGGCAATGAGGGGTTCAGTGTCTCGCTCAGGGAAACTTCAGCATGTGACTGCTGGTGGATTCAAACCCCCAACTCTTGCATTGGAGGATGACTGCTCTAACCACTCAGGCACAGCCTCCCAGTAGTACCCAAATGCTAGCAAAAAAGTGTAAATTTAACAAAATTCTAGATCAAAGAAGCCAAAATATTAGATAAACTCTAAGAGTACAAAGTAATAAAACACATATCCAAAGTGGCAACATGCTAGCTTAAAAATAAAGTAGACAAAAGCTATCTAAAATGTAAAAGAGAAGTAGATCAGCACAATGTAAGACTGGGCAGAAGGTAAAGTACATTTGTAGCTAAAGACTAGCTAACAGGAAAAAAAATTAACTAAAGTGTTGGACAAAAGTACCTAAAAGCTAAAAGTAGCTAAAGTTATGCTTGAAGGTGAAAGTAGCAAAACACTAGCCCATGGCTAGTCAACAAAACTGCTCAGGGGGCCACAGTGTCTTAAAGCCAACAGCTCGGGGGCCGGACATCCAGCATTAAAATCATTAGGTAAATAAACCAACGTTTAAAATGATCTGTTACCTTTTAAATTTGTTTATTTTATTGCATTGAATCATAAATGCAATAAACAGAACCCACACCCAGAAAAAAATAAAATATTTTTTTTTGTGTGTGAAGTGGGCCAGATTAAATTCACCCGCGGGCCGGGAAATGGCCCATGGGCCGCCAGTTAAATAGCCCTGCACTAGCCTAATACAAGTAGCAAAAAACTAGCTAGATGATTAAACTGAAAAAAAAAAAAAAACTGATTAAAAGGCAAAATTAGTAAAATGCAAGCAAGAAAAGCAAGCAGTCAAACCTTTGCAAAAAGCTAAAAGTAAAAGGCTAACTAAAAGTTGCAAAATTTTTTGCTAAAATATGTAGGAGCAAAAGGTTAACTAAAAATAGCTACAAGTAGCAAAAGGGCAGCATATTGAAGTAAATGGCTAGCTTGAAGGTAAAATAAATAAAAGGCTAGCTAAATGTTTAAAGTTATAAAAGCTATAATAAAATATATAGTAGCAAAAGGTTAGCTAAAGGGTAAAAGTAGCAAAGGCTACCAAAAAGCTAATAGTAGCTAAAAACTGACCAGTTGATAAAAGTAGTAAAATTCTGGCTAAAAGCAGCCAAAGGTTAGCTGAAAGTTAAAAGTAGCAAAAGGTTAACTAGAAGGTAAACTGTACCCACCAGCTAGTTACCAAGCCGACCCAGTTTGGGTTAAGGCAGCTCTTTTAAACAAACCCAGAGTTGGAGGGGGGGGGGGGCAAAGAGACTTACAGCTCTTTTCTGGGTATTTGGCTCAGCTCGCCAAAGAGATCCAGCTCGTAGACAGCTCTGTAACGAGCTGGTGGACCTCTCACCAGTCCAGATCAAAGTCTGGGAGCAGACCTGAAAATTTCTGTTTTTTTCTCTAAAATCTTTAAAAAGCATCAATCCGGAGGAACCTCTCACTCCTATCACCTCATGTAATGATTATCTGTCTCCTAGCAGCAGGTAAAATAAATAAACAAATGTCTGAGTAATCTGTGAGCTGCAAACTGCGTGGGGCCAGTGACAAATCACAACACCTACTCCAGCTTCCCGAGCCACCCGACACGCTGTGAGGAAATGACAGAGAATCTAAAAAATCTCCACGTCGAAGAACATCTGAGTTCTGACTGGTAAGATGGGTTTTAAAGATCATCTCAGTTTATACAGATATTTGTATTTTAGGGCAATTCAGTGTGTAGGAAGTAATTTAAAAAGAGCTACAAGCAACAAAAGCCTTCATCATCAGTAGAAACAACGCAGCGTTGTGTTTTACTGAAGCGGTTCCACTCGCAGCTACGTATATATATTTTTAACTTGTGACAAATATTCTGTGTGTTTGCATCTTTAAAGTTCTGCCTCAAGTGGAGGGTTCAAGCGTCTCAGGGTTTTGTTCAAGAGTGAGGGGGGAACGGAGCATGAGAGCAGCTGACGGATCAATGTGGCTTCAGCAATATTGTGGATGCTGTGCCGGTCTTTTGTGGTGAAGAGGAAGCTGAGCTGCAAGGAGAAGCTCTCTGTTTGCCGGTTGGTCTACATTCCTACCCTTGCATGTGAACTCATAACATAGGACATAATTACTTGCAGTGTACCCTCAGTGCAGACCAAATTAGGCAAAAGGGACATCCCCTACTCCGCTCCTGTTTCCTGGAACACCTTGCAAAAAGATCTGAATCTCTCGACCTTGACCTCTCTAAGGGCTTTTAAACAACTGCTAAGATCATGACAAAAACCACTGCAGACATGTTCCTGTTTTTAACATTTTACACCCCTTTATAATGTAGCTGTTCTTTTGTTTTATATATAATTATTTACTTTTCATTTTTTATGCTTTTTATATGGTTGTCTATTGTTGTCT